AACCGCTGGGCGCCACCACAGACACGGCCTTTATGTTGCCCCAGTGGGAGCGCCCAGGCAAAAGCAAGCCACAAACGCCTCTAATCTCCTCCAAAGGCTCAGCGTTTTTCCTTCAAAACATTTAGGCTTCGTAAGACTAAAACCCCCCGTGACTCCCAGGGCAGACTGTCTTCTGGGTTACCAACAGCTGCTAATGCTAATTCGAAGAGACCAGCTAAAACCCCCGGAAGCAGGCCTAACAAAAATAACCTCCCAGCGAGGTTTTATGTATTTACTTTTTTATTTGAAATTCGACCACTTCAGTGAGACAGCAAAAAACCCAAGGTAAGCTCCCCCTGCCAGCAGTTAAACAGAGCTTACACATTGCTGTAGCTACACAAAGAGAAAGAACCCAAGATTGGTTTCTGCTTCATTAGACAAAACACAATGGTTACAGAACAGTAAAAATCAATAAGGAAATATTGAAGCTTGTAATGGATATCGGAGGCCAGAAAGCCTGCACATGCTGAGGACCACAGGCCAGGTTTAGCACCGTCCTCACAACACGCCTGCCTGTTCTTTCCAATCACCCCCGCTGACAGGTTTGGTTCACAACATCCCACGGGCAATTCCACCTTCCCAGCTCCCCGCTGTGCCCACCACCTGCACCGGGAGCAGCGTCCAACCAGGCAGCACCCCCCGTGCTCCCGGGGAGGCACCTCTGCCCCCGGCTCCCGCAGGGCCGCAGCGCCCCACAGGCAGCAGGTGCCAAAGGCCGGTCTCCCCGGATGGGCGAGGGGCGGCGCGCCTTCCCGCTCCAGGGCCACCTCCGTTTGGAGAGGTCTGCGCCTCGCTCCACTCCCCATGAGGGAGGTGGAGGCCAGGAATTGCCCCAGGATCCAGCCACGCTGGCTGCCCTGAAGGCCAGCCTCCACCCCGACACCACCCCAGCCAAGGCACACACCGCTCAGTCGTCTTCCTCCAAAGGATAAACTAACTGTCCCGTTGCAAGTAGTCCTTGATCCCTTCACGTAAAGGGAACTGTGGGAGGGCTGGTCAGCCCGCAGAAATGCATTTAATGAGCCTTCCGTTATTCCCTGCCCACTCCTCCCCCTTGAAAGCCCCACCGTAAGAAAACAGTCTTGCTTCCTTGCACGCATCATAAGTAATTCTGAGCAACCCCAAGGGATCCATCAGCTGTCAGGTTGCCAGAGAAACATGGAGAATATGTAGGCCATAAAAATCAAACTAAAAACCAAGCACCTAATTAGTATGCAAAAATAGAAAATAAAAACTGAACAAGAGCAAAACACTGAACAAGAAGTAAAAATAAACCAGCCCTCATCTGCCCTGAGAGCAAGTTGGAAAGTGGCCTGGAAACACTTCAGCCAAGGCTCCTGGCTCCCGACTGCTCTGCCGTTCGGGACAGAGTGTCCCACAGTTCAGACACCAACCAAACTTCGGGAATGCCCCCCAGCCCCCACAGAGGCTTCCAGGGTCCACAGCCAAACCGTGCCGACAGGCGAGCTGTCTTCAACCAACACCTCCTCTGGAGAGGCAGGTACTTGTCCGTGGTGTCACTCCTGTTAACAGCTGCTGGATCTGCACTGACAACGTTTGGACACACGCGTGTGACCACTGTGAAACCTAAATGTCACCGGCACAGCCTGCAGATGAGCTCAGTGCTGCTCCCACCCGGCAGGAATCTTCTGGGCCCCGCCGCCGTATTTCACAAGGGCTCACCACAAATTTATTTCTAAGGTCACTGACAATTGGGAAGGCAAAAGTCTAAAACTGGCAAGCACAGGAGTTGGGGAGAGCTGCAGACAGAGCCCCAAGCACTGTAACCACCACCTGTATTATTAACCAGCCACGCGTGGCCTCTCCAGGCGGAGAACGCGCCGCTGCCGAGAGCACGAACCTGCTGTACAACCCACAGCACGCCAGGCATGATAAAACCACTGAAAAAGTTTCACAATGCAAGTCACTGTCTGTGAAAGAAAGAATCAGATGAAATTTTAATGCAGCCGCCCTCCAATTCAGCTTAGTATGTAAATCTACAAACCAAAGACATGAACGTGAGGTGTGTAAATACGGCGAGGTGCGCCGACAGATCCCTTGGGCACCTGCGGCCCAGGTCAAGCGTTGGGAATCCGAAAGCAGACGTGTGCCACACTTTAAGTTGGAAACGGACAGTTGGGAGGCAGGAACTGTCGAGTATCGTAATTAAAAGCAGAAAAGACATCCTATCCAGTGCCCCCTGTTCAGCAGCAGGCATTAACTTGCACTTGCTGGCCAAGGACGAGGGCCAAAGAGACTGCCTATAGCTGTGGGTAATCTCACACTGTCAGAAAATCGCTCTTAATTTCGTCATACCAGCCAGCCCTCTGATCCCCTTCTTTCCTGCTCAGGGGAAGGGAGAGAACCGACAGGATCTGCAAGAGAAGAGCTGCCTGTACCTGCCGGGGGTGCGGGCAGAAGAAAAGGCCAGGAGATGATCGCTGTTCTTCCCAAAGAAAGCAGAGACTTCGAAACAACACAACCCACAGCCCAGCACCCCCGGAGACGCTGCCAACGTTCCCTTCTCTCCAGAAGAGAGAGAGAGAAACTCCTCACCCCTCACCGAAACGACACAGCCCCTCAGGAGCAGAGCCGTCCTGCACAACCTTCTGCTAAACCCGGAGGCCCCAGCAGATTACCAGCTCTCCAGCTAAGCCTCGCCGCTCAGAGCGGGCTGTAGAGAGAGTCTGAGTCCCGTCCTCCTCTTCCCAGGTCAACTGGCCGCGTCTGCTGAAGGACAGCAGGCTACAGAGGAGAGCCACAGCTCAAACAAGCATTGCTCTAATTCAACATAAGCATCAAAAATAACAAGCAGTACTTTAAAACTGGGATTGCAAATCACAACAGCTACATTTTAAAGCTACAGAGGATACTCTAATGCTATAATCCGTATTAATCTGACACTAAGAACAAGACAAATACACCACGGGTACTAATATGGTGCAGATGGTAAAGTGCAGGGCCATGTTAATGAAAGCCGAGACTCCACTATTCTTCCCTCTAGCACGCATACACACTTCCCTTAAATATTTGCTCTAGCGTTAATGTCAGCAGCGCGTCCCAGCCAGCCTGCAGCTGACGGCAGCGCGAAGGGACGCGCTGTCCCACGGCAGCAGGCAAGAGGAGAGTCCTAACTCGGAGGTAAAGCACCCCTCTTCTCGGGGGCACTCCAGCCCTGCCCATCCCGGAGCACTACTCAGCCGCTGCCCGAAGATGCCCGGGAAGTCAAGGAGAATTACACGTGAAGGCTCCTCCGACAACGCGCTGACGGAGCTGTCCCTGGCAGAGACGAGACACACGCACAGGAATATCTCAACTCACCCTTCAGGATGTGTCGAACAATTTTAATGGAGCTGCCTCTCATGTTCAGAATCTGATGGACTCTCTGACGAATCTGACGGGCGATAGGAAAGAGAAGAACGTGACCTTCAATACAACACAAAGCCACGTACAACCCCACTTCTTCCCCACTCGGAGGGAAAAGCAGAAACCCTGAGCCCCAGAAAATCCCACTCAGCCCTGCGAGTCCCCACCCCAGCGGCACGTGGCACGGGGTCAAGTAACCTCACAAACCCCCATGCGTTCACCCCAGCAGAGGCAGCATTTCGCAGGGATCACGAGAAGTCACCCGTCCCAGTCTGTGCCTTCGTGGCACCTCCTGAGGGAACGTCCCCTCCCCTCCTCTCTCGGCAGCGGCGTACTCCAGGCCTGCCCGTGCCACACCATGACCTTGCTCCCGGCGCACTGTATGAACCCAGTGACAATGACCAGCTTCTGTACCCACTCGTGCCCCCCAACAGCTACCGCCTGATGGAGCTTCATGGACACACGAGTGCCATAAGCAGGAGGTTTCCTCCCAAAACAGGAATTAAAGAGCAGATGATTCACCCAGGCAGCACTTGCCAGGATTTAGAGTCTTGCTTGTCTCATGGACAGAAACACAGAGGATCTGCTGACCTTGTACATAGCTTTACCTGGGGAACATTGGCGTTACAGATCTCTGCCATGATGTAACAAATGAGCTGTAGAACAAAGAGACCGGCGTCCAGGCGGCGGAGGTAGAATTCGTCCTCCATGTCATCGTCTATTATCTCTCCCCGACGCACCATGTCCTGTGAAGCAACACGAGGGAAAGGCGTGATGACCGGCTCTCCACGTGCCTCCCGTCAGGAGTGGCAAAACGCTGGTGACATTTGTGGTTTCTTAAGAAACACTTTGGTCCCCAAAACACTAAGATCCATGTATTCCTCGCCACAGAATGCGTTAAAATCCACAAAACATTTCATTCAGTTTTGAACCAGGTTTTGTCTTTGCTGGTTGTGAAGTGTGTCCATCTGCAAACCAAAATTTTAATTTAAACGTACAAATTACGTTTCCAAATTGAGCCATTAGAGACTGTGGATAGGGAACAAACCAGAGTATCTCTCATTTATACGTTCTTTGTCAAAATGGAACAACCACCTGCTCTTTTACTGGCCATCTGAGGGTGCTGTTCAGCAGTGCAGAACATGACTCCAGCAGACTCAAAGACCCACCCGTCTTCCAACCTCCTTACCGGCCGATGAACGAGAGCACTTTGCACAAGGACAGCTTTACCACGCCCAGCCTGGCTCTCCCAGCTCCGTCCGTCACGCTCACTGACGGGGCCGAGCCCCGGCCGGGCCGGTTACAGAACACCACCGGTTCCGTGGGAACGCCCACGGCTCATCCTTCCTCCGCACACACGGCGTTTCAGCAGCGAGACCGGCCCGAGGGAGGCCAAAGGCCGAAGGCAAGAGGCCATCCCACTCGTCCTGTTCAGACAGAGCCCCCTCTGCCACACACTGGCCAACGCTGCCCGGCCATCAGCTCAGAGCAGCTTCCCGCCGAGAAAGGCCGGCCACGTCCACCACCGGACCCGCCATCCCCATTCAGGGAGGCCAGCAGGCCGAGATGACCGATGTCACGTGTGACCTTCTGCATTTTGGGGGTCGATTCTGGGCTCTGCTCTTACAGAGAGGCAGCAGCT